GCTCCCGCGCCGACGAGGCCTCCTGTGTTCCGGGCCTTCCCAGCAGCGCTTGCGGGCCACACACACTCGGGCACGGTGCTCACGGACAGGGTCGCCGGCACGGTGCCGCGTCCCCGAGCGTTGATCTCGGCGGCCGGCTTGATCGCATTGTACTTCATGGTCGAGGCCTCGAAGGCCACGCCGCACAAGACGAGCACGGCGATGAGGTAGATGAGGGGCGTGCTGCCGCCGGCCGGGGTCAGGACCTCGTCCTTCTCCGCGTTCTTCGAGCGCTTCTGCCCCTCAACCTTGTTTGGGCCGACCTTGCTGGCCGAGGAGCCACCCGACCGAAGCTGGAAGCAGAGGAGCGCGAGGAGGCACTCCAGCACGAGGGCACCCACGAGGCGGGACCAGGGAGCGCCCCTTCCCCTTTTCTGACCACCATCACGCGGGTCACCGCCGCACGGACTGGCCGAGCCGCCCCCACTCACCGTCAAGTCGGGCGGCGCGGAGAGCGCTTCCTCTGTCGAGTGCCGGTTGATGCAGGCGTCGTGATTGACCGCGTCCAAGCCCTCGATGACCGCCTCAAGGGTCTCGCGAGGGACAGTCGACGCATTCGGCGGCGGCTCGGTCGACAGATTCGCGGGTTGGGACTCGAGAAGCGTCGTCCGCCCGCCGCTCGCCCAATCCGGCGTGCACGAAGGAGCCGGGAGGAAGAGAGGCACCGACGCGGGCTGCCGTGCGGTTGACGACGGCGGGGTGCCGACGGCGAGGATGCAGATCATGAGAAGCGAATGGCGGCGGGTTGGGACGGGCTCAAGTTGGCGTGCGCGTCGGCGATCAAACTCGCGGCGCGCGTTTTCATTTTTCTTTTTTTCTCGACCCTTCCCGAGCACCTTCCAGCGGGCAGCCTCCGTAGCGGCGGGCGACTCAACAGGATCGGATGCAAAACGAAAAAACAGACCGGCCACCTCCACGCTCAAGCCGATAAGCTGACCGCCGCACTCCACACGGTGCTCCAAGTGCTCGCCGCGCCTTCCCAGCATCGGCTGGCCCGACAGGCACTAGAGCTAGCGGCAAGACCTCCTCCGCACACTACGGCTATCGCTAGGATTCCTACCTGATGAAGCTCCGGTGCGCGGCGACTCTTCTCGTAGCGCAGCGCCATACCTCTGCTCTCTCCACCATTTGATCTACTCCTCCAGCTCGAGAACCGCTCGCTCAAAGAGCTGCGGGCTCAGGGCGCCGCCGTCAAGCGCCTTTTGCAGGAGCGCGAGCCGTGCTGCTCTTTCTGCAGGGGCAGGCGCGGCGGCGGCGGCGGGAGCGGCAGCGGGAGCGGCGGCGGGAGCGGCGGGAGCGGCTGCTACAGGCGCCGCCTGCTGCTTCTTCTTCTTCCCGCCGAAGATGTTGTCCCAGTTGTTGGAGAACTGCTTGGAATAGCCCCAGCCGTTCTCTGTCGGCTTGAAGGCGATGTCGGTCGAGTGGAGGCGATCTGCTTCCGCCGCCGCGGGTGCCGCCGCCGCGGGCGCCGCCGCCGCGGGCGGCGCGGGCGCGGGCGCCGCGGGCGCGGGTGACGGCGCGGGCGCGGGCGCCGGAGCAGCAGCCGGCGCGGGCGCTGGAGCGGAGCACAACAGCCGCGACGGTCGCAGGCGATGCTGCACGCGCAGGCTCGAGGCTCGTAGCAGCATGGCCCCGCTTTGTGTACCCGGGTACCTCGAAAGGCCGCCGAGAAGTCGAAAGAAGTCGCCTTTACGGCGAGTCGGATTTCTTCTTTGGCGGCCCGGGCATGCTGTACCGCTCTCACCGCTTGGAGCGAGCGGCCGGGCCCTAACACCCGGAACCAAGATCTCGCGTGCTGTATATGTACAAGCTCCGCTTCACTGCCGAGACCGAGGCGGAGCTGCTGCGGGCGCAGGCTGACGAGGCCTACTTTCCGACCGTCGTCATCGATCGTGCCGTGCAGTGCGATCCGCTTGCAGAGTCGGGCTGGCCACAGCTCGGCGACGGCAGCGGCGGCGGCGGGGCTGGCGCCGCCGCCGGCGAGGTGGCACCCTTTCAGTCCCTCGCGCGCCGCGAGGAGCGGCCATCCTCCTCGTCGCTCGCCG